TCCTATAGAGAAAAATGTGTTTCCATTTTTTCATAAAGCCTATTTGGGAGGAAAAACAAGAAACAATGGATTCTTTATAATTATTATTAATAACAATCTTTTTGGCATTTTGCACTCATTTTACAAAGAAGTAACAGGAAAGATTTTACAGAACAGGCAGAAATGTAACAGAATGTCCATTTTTTAGGAATTATCTTTTAAAAATATTCAAGGTAACAGACAAACCTTCTGATGTAAACCCAATGCAGAGGATCTAACTATTTATATTGAAGAAATACCTGCCCATGCAAAAGTTTTTATCTCCTTGATGTTTCTCTTAGCATCCTACCAAACACTGAAGGTGCTGAGGCCTCCTGAAATACAAACGTTAGCTAATGACCTTCATATTAAAAACGCGAATACAGATTACACAGCTTGCTTACAAAAGCTTTATGGGATGCTTTTATTCCTTCAAAATAAATGCTCAGAGTTTTGTGTAAAGGCCTCTTGTTGTACAAAGAGTAGTGCACCATCCGGTAACTCGTCTTCCTAGCTAGTCTACTCACCTATGGAAAAAAATGTTTTAGCATTGTGATCAGTTCTTGCCTGGATGTCAAAAGCTAACTGTGATGGGAAAGAAGCAGAGCCAGTGGTGAGACAGAAATGGATGGGCAGTTCTACAATATATTTCTAAAAGAGAAAGAAATTTAAACATTGAGATGATGCAGTTGTTTAAGATGTTTCTGTGCTGGTACTCAGCTCCAGAAGCTAGTCTTTTCCCAGTACAAAAGATTACTGAAGATAAATTAAATTAAACTAAAGGCTTGATCCATTATTACACCTTTAGGCCACACAACACATTAATTGATATATCATAATATTTAATATTTTGAAATCATCATAAGAATATATATAATAATTACACCTGAGTTTTAAAAACAAAACAAAATGGAACTGAATGTTGTCATCAGTAACAGGCTATGAGCAGCCAGATGCAAAACTGATACAAACTAACTCATCTGCTTGAGACCAAGATTATCTCTTAAAGCCAAGGATTCACACTTTGTCCACCACGACTTGTAACATTCCTTTCTCTTTCCAAGCTCTATCATGTCATAATAGAGTTGAAGAGAACTATACAAGAGATTTAGTATAGCTTAATATATGACTACATCTTTTTATAACAAAAACCTTATCTCTCTGACAGTAACTTGAACCAATACACATACAAGAGTATTGCACATGGACATTATTATAATTATTCTTTCATAGACTAACATTTTAATAGTATGCCTGAACATGCAGCAGTTGATACCTCTATATTCAATGAATTCCACAGGCCTTGCAGCAAACACTATATACAAAATCTCACCTGTACAAAAGGCAAAAAAGCTTCTTTTAGTGCCACTTTGCCAATCACAAGTATATATATTTTTGTGCAGCTGGAAATCCATGTGCAACAATTAAAATGGATTCCAATGACCGCTCACTCAGTCCAGTAAAATATATAATAAAATGACCTCAGCAATACATGTACACAAAAAAACCCCAAAACAACCCAACAAAAAAAACCCCAAACCACAGGGTACTCCTGGAAATGTAAGTACATAACACTGTTAGCATATCTACAGGAGGTAACTTCACATTAGTAATATTGTCCACATGAGTTACCATTTCAATTCATACACAAAAAAAAATTCAATGTACAACTTTCAATGTCAGTTTGTGAATGTTTGATCTTCAGTTTTTTTAACACACTTCCACATAATGCACATGTAGCCTTATTTTGTGTCTTCTAAAAGCAGATTTCTCTTTAGATTTTAAACATAAAAACAACAAACACAGTAGTATTATGGTTTTGTAAAAGTGTGCAAAAGTAACACACTGCTGAGAAAATAAATATAAATAAGAAATTATTTATCAGCTTAGCAACCTGGTCTAGTGGGAGGTGTCCCTGCTCATAGCAGGGAGCTTGGAACCTGATGATCTTTAAGGTCCCTTCCAACCTTAACCATTCTATGATGCTATGAAAGGCAAATTTCTAATGTTTATAATACATTTTTTAATGTAAAATTAACTGTAAACATTTGCAACCTTGCCATCACTTTAATGGTTCGTTTAAATGGATATTAAATTTGGTAACATGGATAGCACACCCAATTACCTGAAAAACTGTAAAATGCTTGTATATAGCTATGTTAAAGTACTATAGGCTTTTTATTCTATAGCCCTTTAATAACTATCTTATAGAATCATAGAACCACTTAGGCTGGAAAAGACCATTAAGATCATCGAGTCCCACCATACAGTATCTATATACTGCTGTGGTATCTGGACATGGAGTGCCTGACCTACACTAATTTGAGCAGATTCATTAGCCAGATTGTCTCATCCATCACAGCTACAGTTCAATGGGGCCCTGAATGTTGACCTGACAGAGTTCCAGAACAATCTGGTGCCCTACCCTTGCACCCACTTCCCTCTGACCACCTATGCTTTTGTGGTTTCAGCTGAGCATGCTTATCATGAGCAGCTGTCAGTGGCTGAGATCACCAGCTCCTGCTTTTGAGCAGAGTGTGACCCCAAATACATGGCCTGCTGCAGCACAGGGATGTGGTACCCAAGGATGTCAACATCACCATCACCACCATCAAGACCAAGAACAGCATCCAGTTCATAGACTGGTGCCCCACAGGCTTCAAGGTGTGCATCGACTCCCAGCTGCCCACAGTGGTGCTGGGAGGGAACCTGGCCAAGGTGCAGCGTGTCATCTGCATGCTGGGCAACACCGCAGCCATCGCCTGCCTGGACCGCAAGTTCAACCTCATGTAACCCAAGGGAGCCTTCGTGCACTGGTACGTGGGCGAGGGCATGGAGGAAGGGGAGTTCTCTGAGGCACGTGAAGACACGGCCACTCTGGAGAAGGATTTTGAGGAGGTGGGCCAGGATTACTATCAGGATGAAGAGGATGGTGAGAAGTAGAGAAGCCCTTGCCAAAAAGGACAATGCTCCTTCCCCTGTAGGAACCCTTTGCAATAAACCATTTCAGAGCAAAAAAAAAAATTAATTATATTGCCCCCAACACAGGAAGGACATAGAGCTCTTGGAGTGAGTCCACAGGAAGGCTATGAAGACAATCTGAGGGCTGGAGCACCTCTCCTATGAAGACTGGCTGAGAGAGCTGGGGTTGTTCAGACTGGAGGAGGCTCTGGGGAGACACCTTATAGCAGCCTTCCAGTACCTGAAGGCACTTACAGGAAAGCTGTGGAGGGGCTTTTCACCAGGGTGTGTAGTGATAGGATGAGGGCTAATGGTTTTTAAGCTGAAAGAGGAGAGATTTAGATTACACTTTCAGAAGAAATCCTTCATTATGAGGGTGGTGAGACACTGGAACAGGTTGCCCAGGGAGGTTGTGGATGCCCCCTTTCCTTGGAGGTGTTCAAGACCAGGTTGGATGGATGATTTTTAAGGTCCCTTCCAACCATAGCCATTGTATAATTCTATGATTCCATTTCCTACTTCAAATAAAATTTCAGTTATTTTTGTGACTCTTATGAGTTTTCCATAATTTTATGAGGAACTTAATCAAAAGCTTTAATTTATGTGCTTTTTTTAATGAACAGCTTTCAGTTTGTACCTCACTACAATAAATTCATAATACAGATTACACCTCCACAAAGGGCAACATATTTGCTGTTTGTTCCATGTCTGAGTACAGATCTCACCATAACCACCAGTGCAAAAGAAAGTTCTCACCTTCTTAGCTTAAATACATATGATGATTACAGAATATGATCTGCTAAATTGCTTTTAATAGCATGGTTTCTTTTTCCATGGAAAAGATGCAATGCAATTTTGTCCTCTGGAGAGATCTTTGGATTAAAAGAAAAGACACAAATATATGGCAGTGTGTTACATCTACAATTTCTGATACAAAATTATTTTGCATTGCTTTGTGAGACAGAAATTAAGAGTGCTTTCAGGTCAGAAGATTAAAGGAAAAAAACCCCAACAATAAATATATACTTTAATTTGGGATAGGGGCTCAGGGTAAGAAAAGTAGTTCTTGATCTACTGAGTCTCAGTAGCTGGGGTTGTTCAGACTGGAGGAGGCTCTGGGGAGACACCTTATAGCAGCCTTCCAGTACCTGAAGGCACTTACAGGAAAGCTGTGGAGGGGCTTTTCACCAGGGTGTGTAGTGATAGGATGAGGGCTAATGGTTTTTAAGCTGAAAGAGGAGAGATTTAGATTACACTTTCAGAAGAAATCCTTCATTATGAGGGTGGTGAGACACTGGAACAGGTTGCCCAGGGAGGTTGTGGATGCCCCCATGATTTTTAAGGTCCCTTCCAACCATAGCCATTGTATAATTCTATGATTCCATTTCCTACTTCAAATAAAATTTCAGTTATTTTTGTGACTCTTATGAGTTTTCCATAATTTTATGAGGAACTTAATCAAAAGCTTTAATTTATGTGCTTTTTTTAATGAACAGCTTTCAGTTTGTACCTCACTACAATAAATTCATAATACAGATTACACCTCCACAAAGGGCAACATATTTGCTGTTTGTTCCATGTCTGAGTACAGATCTCACCATAACCACCAGTGCAAAAGAAAGTTCTCACCTTCTTAGCTTAAATACATATGATGATTACAGAATATGATCTGCTAAATTGCTTTTAATAGCATGGTTTCTTTTTCCATGGAAAAGATGCAATGCAATTTTGTCCTCTGGAGAGATCTTTGGATTAAAAGAAAAGACACAAATATATGGCAGTGTGTTACATCTACAATTTCTGATACAAAATTATTTTGCATTGCTTTGTGAGACAGAAATTAAGAGTGCTTTCAGGTCAGAAGATTAAAGGAAAAAAACCCCAACAATAAATATATACTTTAATTTGGGATAGGGGCTCAGGGTAAGAAAAGTAGTTCTTGATCTACTGAGTCTCAGTAATTTGTTGACCTCTTCAGAATCACTTCTTGCAGCATCATTCATCTGTCAGCCTAATGTTGTCTATGGCAGTAGCTCTTCTCCAAAATAAGAGAACCCTTTAAATTCTTCTTGATTGATTTGTTTTATAATTGTCTCATCCACTAGCGTTAATACTGGTTCTTCTCGTGTAAAGTCTTGATCAAAGTTATTTACATCCCTTTTGGTTTTCTGAGAAGAAAAATACAAATAAGGTGAATGGTAAAACAGCACATTAAATTAAAAGGCGATCTCCCTTCTTTCCACCCGCCCTCCCTCCCCCTTCCCAAAAGGCTGAATTTTCTGGAATGATTGAAATAAAAGAGAAGCTACTTCACACGAAGAATAACAGACATATGAGAGAAGCTACAGGAGCAAGTACTATAAATGAGTTCAGGAGAGGCCACAGAAGCAGTACTATTAATGAGTTCCCAGAGACTCAAGGGTCTCTGACAGGTGAAGGAATAGCAGTATGATGATAAAGCAGGAAGCTGAGATTAGGACTAGTTTAAAAAAGGCTTGGGCATAGTAGGTGGTACGGCTGTTTCCTCTTAGATTTGAACATAATATCTCATTTCAGAGGCACAGAGTAAGCTGATTTAATTGATTTACCCACAATATAGCCTACTGTTTCGACTCAGTTCACTGTTTTGTTTTCTCTCTGGCTACACTCCGTTTTAAAATCAAATGTAAAACCTAAAACAGCTCTCAGTGCAAAATCCTTGAGCTCCACATTGGCAACTCAGATTTCCTGATGCAGTCGAATGTCCTTCAGAGCACCACGGCAAAGAGTGAAATTCTGGCTTAAGATAAATCCACCTCAGAACTCTTTTTCATTTCAATGGCGTCAGGATTTCCCCACTGAAGTCTAAAGCACCTTGCTCTTCCAGTGAATTTGGGTCAACCAAGAACATAGGCTTTGCATTTTTTTAATGCATAGGCAGGAGGGTTGGGACTAGATGATGTTTAAGGTCCCTTTCAACCCTAGCCATTTTATGATTCTATGAACTGTACATGTTGTGGTTGTATAAGAAATTAACTAGAGTTAGCCTTGGGCAGGCAGACTTGTCCTCAGAGCACTTGTGACAGTGACTGTGTCCACTTATATGTAAAAAAAATCCTCAAGGCTACAGGGGAAAAAGATTCCCCATTGTCATTCCCTTGAGACCTGCAGTGTTCATGTTTTCCCTGTTAGTGGCCCATTTCAGGCACGTATGGATTCAGGGAACTGGAAAAAGCATTTTCCTTCACACTCTGTCTTTCTTCTTCATTTAATGACTCTAATGGTCACCTGAGTAATACCTAATGGAGGCACATTGAAAACCAGCTTTTTGTCCATTCTCCACATATCTGAGATTAAGACGATACCAGATATAGAACACCTATTTGACTTGCAAAGTAAAATGATACAATCAAAAAGTGATACATCATAGGGTACATTAATGTATTCCAAATGGGATATAGACCTTTCAATGTAGATACCTTTTCCTATTAAAAAATAGATAAAAGATTTAATTTCTTCATCAGGTCTAGTGAGACACTAAACCAAATAGTTCTCTTTCTTACAATTGTAAAATGGGTATAGCAACCTTCACCTATATTGTTTATAAGAACTTTGTAGATACCTGGGGGAAAAAAAAGGTCTATATAAATGCAAGAGACTGTTACTTGTAAACCAAATACTTTCTAAGCACAGGCAATCAAAAATCCACATCCTCTACCTACAAAACTCCATTAAAAGAAAATGAATATGGACTTAACAAACACATATTTAAATGTTTATATTGTTTACATTTGTAATATTTACTTTCTACATAAAAAATGGACATAAAGCTTATGTGACCTCTATACTCTGAACTGCATAAAGCGTGAGGGGCATGGCTTTGGGAATTGTGCTTTTTTTCCCTGGCATTTTGGCAAATACTGCAAAATAAGAATGAAACTCCCTAAGAATTTTTAAATGCATTACATGGCAACTAAGTCTACATTCTAATTGTTCCCCATGTCCTTCTGTAGTATTTTCACACACTCATACGACAAATTTGCTGCAGGTATAGTCACTAAAACAAAAGGAGGTAGGTAACTGAATATTTGTAGAAAGTAGAATTCAAATTCAGAACTGTAGTTATGTGCAAGAGAAACGTGACTACACTCACTTTAAACACCAGCTCTCCAGGGCAAATAAGCTTTGCGCTAGCTGAGGCCAAATGCAATAGATATTATTTAAGGTTTTCATATTGAACTTTTTTGTGAAAAGTGTTCTCTCCTTACTGAAGCTAAAATAATAAGATGACACAGTCCTCAAAACCTATCAGTGGCAATTAATACCTTATACCTAATTTTTCCAGAAAACCATCACTAAGATTTATTAAGGTGCTAAGAGAACACAAGGGCAGATGAGTACATCTGAAACACTGTCCCAACACTGGTGTTTCTAAATCCTACTGACTAAAAATATTGTACTTCCAGTAGAACTTTCAATCCCAAAAACTTCCGAAACAACAACCAAAGGTATTTGCTTAGATTTAAAAGTACGGCATGTCTTGAAATATGCCTTCAAAATCAAAGAAAACAGAAGTTTTTACTTTCTCAGATTTATAATTTCATGTCTTCTTGGCAGCATAGATGTAGATCACCCAATTTATTAACAGGACAAGTATGGAGCATTCTAAGATTGCAAGGATACAGTAGCAAGCCTCTAACTAACCAAATGATGAAGAGAGATTAAATAAATCACAGGGAACAAAAGTGAGTAGATTAAGCCATACAAGACACAAGGCAAAGTTCATAACAAGTGCTTCTTTTCAACAGAAAGATTTATTTGAGAAACCCTCCCTAGCTACTTAGGCACTTTATTTCTGAAGCTAGGACTATTTTGTAAAGCTCCATCTGTTAAGACAAAACAGGTCTGGTCACATTTCTGCTACTACTGATATTTTAATGTACTTGCACTGTGAATATTCTATAGGCCATCAGCATGAACCATTATATACCTGCAGCATGAGGGCTTAGGATGAAAGAACGAAGGGGCTGTGGCTGTCCCCTAGCAGAGATGCTGAGAAAAGATAGATCTGCAAGGTAAGGAGTGTATATGAAGGAAAAAAGAGTGCAGCTATTGTCCAACATTGAACATTAGAAGAAATCATGAAGAAAAAAAGAAAAATCTTCAAATTGCCTGGCAAATGCATAATTAAAAATGCAGTAATTAAATGGGTGGGATTATGTTATCCTGCAGCTCCTGAGACTTTAGGATACATTATTTTTAACTTTTCAAACTTTTTTCCAGGTAAGTCTTTCTCACTTTCAGATTACTGCAGAAACTAGGATTAACAGGAAAAGAACCCCTAAAATCACAGCTGTCCACCCAAACACACAGAAATTCAGCTAGCTTTCAGGTGCTACTTTTTTTCTCTTTAGACTACTCAAACACCTTATGTTCAGCATGCATCTGTGCTACACAATAGCAGAGGCACAGCAGCTACCCAAAAGCTTCTGATAATAGGTGCCAAATTCCATACTGCACTGAAACTGCTCTACTGCAGGTGACACGTGGGCAGCCTGCTTCTGTCTGACAAAGAGCAGCAGCAGTGCCGTGGCACTTGTATGACTAAAAATCACATAGCTCCAATTCTAAATCTCATCTGAAAGATGGCTCCTCCACCAGCACGGTATCTCTGATAGCAAGAAGGAATAGTGGTTCACTACCTGTTGTGCAGGAAAGATGCTGGCTAGTTGGTCTTTTATTTTTCCAGTGGTGTGAATGCTCCTTAAGTCTCCTAATCACTGACCTAGTGTGACCTGCTTGTCCTGGGAGACATGGTGGGCCTGCTTCATATGGGTGATAAGATCTGATCAGATGTAGAACCTACGCTACAGAAATAGAACCTCTTGAATTAAACAAATAATAACATGACCTACTACCCATCAAGGATGACAATTTTAAAGTCCAAGTCATGGTTTATTCCATTCAAAGATGACTGCTTCTGGTCAAAGAGCTAAAGATATTGGAAATTTTATCTCTGCATAAAACATCATTTAATCAGCTTTCCTAGTTGGCTTGCACAACAGAAGAATATTGGTTTATGATTTTTTATTTCCATAAAAAAATTAATTTTCTACCTGCAGTCACAGACTCAAGCTTAAAAAACCTCCAAAACATGCTTAATAAACTGGATTTTCCAGTCTGAGATACTGTCAGCATGGAAATGCAGATGCAGATTGGGCTTTCTATATCACTGAATGAAACATCTTTAACTTTACTCCACTGCAGTTTTCTGTCACTGGCAGTGCTTGATGCCTCTTCCTACATTTTCAAACCCATATGAAAATCCTGGAGTCTGAAACTCATCTGAGGAGCTTCACCAGAGAAGCCTCCCAGTGCAGCACCTGGCTGTATCAGCAGCACATCAAACACATGACAGGCAGATGAAATCTGGGCAGGGAGCTGCTGCAGCTCCCTCTGTGCAGCCAGAGGGGCACAGGACACTGCAGCAGGAATGGGACACACAGCAAGAGTTGCACCTTGTCATATGTATTACACGCTGTTGTTTAATTTTATCCAGAATTTTGCTCCAGTAAGAAATAAATGATTCCTGCGTTTGACACACTATCATCAAGTAGAAATTCTTAGAACAGAATGATCAGAGTTTGAATGTTTTGTATTTACCCCGTTACTGATAAGATTTTCGATTATTTTGTCCAAGAGAAATTGAAAACTCAAGAAATCAAACAAACTGGTTTGAAGCACAAGGTTATGTGGCTAACCTCACGTATCACTGCCCTCTCATTCACCTCTCTTTATCATAACAAAAACCACAGCACAGAGAGAGATGACTTTGCACCAATGACTGGATCTCTTTTCATAAAGGTGTAATAGTTTCTAAAAAGCTGAGACCAATGGCAATGTCACTTTCACACCAAACTCATTCTGTGTATACAGAAATTTAGTATGAATACTGTGAAAGAAAAAGGCTGAGAAGCAGAACACTTCGGGCCTATCTTTCAGTTTATCCTGGTGATGCCTCTTTATAGTATTTGCACACCTTAAGAAGCTGTATCAGTATTTTAAGCATTTCTTAGAATGTCTTATTTCAGAATTATTATAGAATAATAGAATTGTTTGGGTTGGAAGGGACCTTAAAGTTCATCTAGATCTAACCCCCCTGCATTGACAGGGACACCTTCCACTAGAT